CGGGGGGGGGGGGGGGACGAGGGTGATCTCCTTCTACCTTGATACTGTTGTCTTATACAGCACTCTCCCAGGAAAATCTGACTTTATTTCTGTCAGAGGATCCATCATCCGAGCTATCGTCTGTCACGCTGCTGCTGCACGTCTTTCCAGAATTATATTTACTCTTCTATCTCGCGTGCCGTTTAAATATCGAGAGCAACCTTCGTCATCTGTATAGGAAGAAATTAATAGGGGCAAACATTGTATCGCGTATCGGGTAAATAGCGCACGAGAGCCAAGTGTATTTGCTTAATAAACGGCGGTTAGATCATCACGGTAGCATCGCGTCGCACGAAGACAAGATATTGACTCAATGATATCTCAATGTACACACGTGCGTTTGCTTCTTGCAGGTACTCCCATATCGACTGTTCCGGCCACGGGGTGTGTATCGAAGGCACGTGTACCTGCGACGCCATGTGGACCGGTGAGGCCTGCGACGTGCAGGTATGCCCGAACAATTGCACGTACCCGCATGGCGAGTGTGATCGCGAGAGTCATCATTGCCGCTGTAAAAACGGCCATAAAGGTAAAGAGATAACGAGGACGTTAACGATTCGGGGACTTATAGTTGATAAGGAGACGCTGGAAATTACACTTTACGTATACTTGAAAGTGAAATTAAATATAAATATCTTTCGGTAACTATTGAGTAAGATAACTATATTGGTTATCACATATACTCGTAGAAGAGAGATCTGCAATGAGTCAATATAACGATGCGATAAAATTAAGCTACATTGGTAAATACATTCGATTTGATAAATACATGTTTTCTTTCAGATATCCAATCTAGGATAATAGCATTACTGACGTAATATTTTTTTTTTTTTTTTAGTACACGCGATCGATAAACATTATGATATCTGATATTCAAGTTTAATATTAGATATTACCTTACATATCCATAACTATATCAATCATAATTATAGTAGCGTAATCAGCGTTGGTATAATGAATGTTGCGTGGTGTATGCTCATTTTAATACTCACTTCCCCAGGTCAAGCATAGCTTGTTTGCAATCTGGAGTAATTGTCAGTGATAAACACGAGCTATTCTTGTTCGAACTAGAAATATAGTGTAATAAATAGCAGGCATAATCTTATACGCAAGTTCATTTACCCACGGTTGTCGCAGGTGCGGACTGTAGCCAAAAAGGCGATCGTGGATTTTGGGAGAGTGTCACGTACAAGGATCTACCGCCGGAAGGCTCGGCCAGTCACTGTTCCATCGTTTGGAAGGATTCGCTGTACGTGGTCGGCGGCGAGAGTTTCCATCGTGCCAAGATGATATACGTGTACGATTATAACGGCAACGTTTGGGAGACACCTCACGTCGAGGGACGTGTGCCGTTACCGCGGTACGCGCACTCGTGCGTGCTGTTTGGCGACAAGATATTCATGTACGGTGGCGTCGTGGAGAATTCCACCGTGACCAACGAGGTCTGGGCGTTCGACGTGTCCGCCAAGGTCTGGGAGAACGTTACCGTGCACGATAATTGCCACAACAAGACGATATGTGGCCCACTAAAGGTGCGAGAGCATTTACTTAGTCCGAAGAGAATGTGGCAATTAAATTAATAAATTAATAATTTAATTGAGAAAGTTATTCTGAAGAAGTAATTTTGTAAGATGACAAAAGTAATTTTTATCGTCAGTGACAAATTATTTAATTATTGGAAATTTTCTAAACAAACGTTACCTACCATCTACATATGTTTGCTTACTCTTATTTTCCAACTCCTAATTGGATCTCACGATAATATCCCGATTTAAAAATCGAATCGTCTTTACAGGTAGCCGGGCACACTGCGACCCGGGTGAGCCATCACAAGAAGGAGAAGATGGTTGTGATATTCGGCTATTCGCCGCAGTATGGTTACTTAAACACCGTCCAGGAGTACTCTTTGGGTACGCGCGAGTGGCAGATCGTCAAGACGACCGGCTTCCCGGTGAGGGGCGGCTACGGGCACAGTTCCGCCTACGATCCTCTCACGAGTCTCATTTATGTGTACGGCGGTTACGTGTCGGAGTCGCAGAGCACGCATATTTTGAGCAGCCGGCTGTACTCGTATAATCCTATTTTCTACGAATGGCGATTGCTCACGTCGGCGCCGTCGGCGCGTTTCTTTCACACGGCCACCTTCGTCACGAGCGGACTGATGTTGGTGTTCGGCGGTAATATGCACAACGACACGCAGCAGTCGCACGGCGCGCGATGCTACTCGGCCGACACGCTCGGCTACGACGTCACGTGCGACACGTGGCATCAGTACACCATGCCCAGGGACATGAGCGACCTTCCGCGTTACGGTCACAGCGCAACCGTCTTCGAGAAGTCGATGTATATCTACGGCGGCTTCAACGGTGAAATGCTCTCTGACATGTTGAGGTACCGATCCAATATATCTTGCTTTAACCCGTAGAGGCTACGTTCTCTCTTTTGAACATCCGTAAAAAGCACCCGAGTGCGAATTCGCACCAGGCGCTTTTAAAGTTTTATATCTTCTGAAAATAAAAAGCAAAATTAATGCAAAACGCGTGTTAAGCGAAATGTAAAATTTTTTGACCAATCGATTGGTAAGGTTAAATTTTTGAAAAAAAAAAAAACGTAATTGTTTTCAGAACTGCGTGTTAAACAAAATTATTTCTGGAAAAACTGCTTTTGTGAAAATTTTGTGGGTACGAATTCGCACACTGAGATGCCCTTTACGGATTAAACTCGAAAGTTGCTTATCTATCTGCAGATGTTGAGATACATTGCTATTGCGCAGGTATAGCCCCGGCAACTGCGAGCCGTTATCGAATCAGAATCAGTGCCTGAATGCGAGGATAGGCGTGAAGTGCGTGTGGCATAAGCGGGAGAGTCAATGCCTGCCGATCGCGACGATACCGCAGCACGTGCTCGATCACAAGGAATACGACGAGCACGACGGCGCTTACATGAAATGTAACCTGGACGACAAGCCGCCCCGTGGCATGACGTCGCACGCGGAGCTCTGCAAACTCTTCACCGACTGCGTCGCGTGCGTGCAGACCTCGTACAATTGCGTGTGGTGCGGCAAGAGTTGCCTGCACATGAGCTGCCGGGACAATCCAAACTCGCCGAATTTGGCCGTCACAGAACTGGATCATTGCGATCAGAACACCGGCATCGAATGCTTGCAACTGCACACGTGCCATGCCTGCTCCAGCAATCCGCGTTGCATCTGGTCGTGGTCCAACGGACCCGACCGTTGCAAACCTCAGTCGAAAATTCGGGAGGTACATGTGAGAGCCTATATTCAGGATTGCCACAGACCTGGAAAACCTGGAAAAGTCAGGGAAATTTGAATTTGGTCAGGGAAATCCTGGAAAAGTCAAGGAAAGATATGAAAGAGCATGAAATTTCGAACTTTGCTCACAATTTCCTTACAGGGATTATTTGTTTTATCGACAAAACTCAATTTTTGTACAATGTTTTTGTTATGTATTGCTTCTTTTTATTTGAAAATCCTTTTTTAGAATTAAACAATAGACAATAACAGAATAAAATAATTTTGTAATAAAATCGAAAAGATTTTCGAAAATTACGATTTTGTTCGAGACTTCTCTCTGTTATTGCAATCAAAAATATTCTGAATACTTAGCGATATTAAAGAAATGTCTATAAGAATCTTTTTGCTTTTATCACTGAGTTTTTGTCTGGTTTCCAAGCAACGGAAAATTCAGTTATACCAAAGAAATTTTTTTCTGTAGTTTAATGGATAACATCAATGTCAAAGCGATGTTAATACTTTGTTGGTCTAAATTTGCATTTGGAATTATATTATGTTATTAAACTTCTAAATTTATGTTGCTTCTAATAATATAAGTTACTTTTTTTATGTATCTTTTAAAATTAAAATTTAGAATTATATATTTGATATTGATCATGGAAAATTTTCCACTGTTGTCTGGAAAAGTCAGGAAATTTTAAAATTCAATTTTTGTGGCAACCCTGTATATTACTACTTCTACCACTTTATTGGCTGTACAAGATGACGGAATAACACGAAATATTTATTACAAATAATTTTTTCGAAATATTTCACATAGCGAATGATTATAAGTATATATTTTTAAATGTGATGCATAATAAGTTTGCCGTGAGAAAAATGATTAACGATTAAGCAAGTGACAATTAGTCTTATTAATTAGTTTTCTTTATTAATTTCTGAAACAGGTGAGCGTGTTAAACGGCACGATCCAGGCGCAGCGTTTGACCACGATGGACACGTGCCGCAGTCCATGCGTGGAGTACACGTCGTGCCGCAATTGCACGGAATCCGACTGTATCTGGTGTCAAAATGAGGCCAAATGTGTGGACAAGAACGCGTACCCGGTCAGCTTTCCGTACGGGCAATGTCGCGAATGGACGACGATAGACGCCCGGTGTCGTGCCACAGAGACCGGTAAGGAATGGTGCAGTTTTTATCTGTCTTGCGCCTCTTGCCGATCGGATCCCGGTTGCGGCTGGTGCGACGACGGATCGGAAACCGGGAAAGGTTTGTGTATGCCTGGCGGAGCCCGTGGTCCCAGCAGCAAAAGCACGAGCACGTGTGCACGCGATCGTTGGTTCTTCACAAAATGTCCATGTAAGCAAATTGTTTTGTTGAATCTTAAGTCTGGATCTACAACTGTGCTCTTTGCAATTCAATGGCGGATACAAGGGGAGGGGGCGATCGTCCTCTCCTCCCCAGAGCTCTCCAAACAAATTTCGTATATTGGAAAAAATCGATTGTAAATAAGTTGACAAAAAAAATTATCAGAGATTATTTGAGACTAAATAATGTTCACTCAATTGACTACAAATTTGATTATATTTTTAACTTATGTATTTGATAAAAATGTTTCAATTAATTAATATCGTTAAAAATAACATTAACGACAATAATAACTAAATGTGCACATTTCGTCCCCCCTCCCCCTCCCCAGAACAACTCTTTAGATCCGCTTTGCATCTTATTTCTTGCTTTTCATTACTTTTTACTACCCTTGCCTTTTTGCCTTTATATCCTGATCCTTCATTTTCGCCTGGGATAAATATTGATGACCTTTGGAAGAGATAGGAAACACATGACAAGAAACACGATTGTCGATAAAACGGTCACAAAGAGGGAAAAGGGCAAGAGGTAAAAAGCAGGAAGCAAAGAGCACATTGTAGATCAGCCTAACACTACTTTGATATATGTTACTATATCGCTGTTTCTAACTCGATTTCCTTGATTTCTCACAGTTTGTCAGTGTAACGGTCACAGTAAGTGTCATACAAATGGTACATGCATAAAGTGCGAAAACATGACCAATGGAACCCACTGCAACATATGTCAAGACGGCTATTATGGTAATCCACTTAATGGAGCTACGTGTCAGCGTACGTAATATCTTTCTTTTTTTTCTACGCGTCATGCCATTATCACTTGCAATCGCCACGAACGAGAAGAAGACAAGACGATTCGAATTGGACACTTGTGCCCTCTTATTACAGCTTGCGCCTGCAACAACCAAGGTACTAAATGCATGACCGAGACGGGCAAATGTTTCTGCACAACCAAAGGCATTATCGGCGATCACTGCGAGCGTTGCGACGTATCTGGTCTCTATCACGGAGATCCGAATAAAGGATCCTGTTTTTGTGAGTTGTCAACTGATGGAATATATTTTATCTCGTTACTTTAACATTAGTATTATAATTAAAACTCTCCCGTGTCTTTGCGTTTCAGATGATTTGGCTATTGACTACCAGTTTACGTTTAATCTGAGCAAGAAAGAGGACAGACACTATCAGGCGATCAACTTCAAGAACTCGCCACCGAAGTCCGACATCGACGCCGAGTTCTCCATCACGTGTTCCGTGCTCGCCAAGATGAATGTGACCATCAAGAAAGTGAACAGTCAGGAAAAGTCGCTGCTGACCGCCGCAAATTGCACAACGACCATGTACAAGCATCGCTTCAGCAAGGCGGACTACAACTTCGGCAGCGAGGACAACAATACTCTCACTACGTTCTACGTGTACGTCTACGACTTTCAGCCGCCACTGTGGATCCAGATCTCATTCTCTCAGTACTCCAAACTGAATCTACAGCAGTTTTTCATTACATTCTGCACGTGAGTACCATAACTTGGATTTCGTGACTTTTTTGATCCAAATTGAAGCGAGCTAATTACGAGTTATTAAATTACGAGTTAAATCTAAATATAAGCGCGCGACAAGTAAATCTTGAGAGACGTAACAGTCCCGTTGGCCGCTTACGCTTTATTTTTTTTTCCAAATTTTCCATACTCTCTTTGCCATGTTGAACCTCAGGCAGTACTTACTTGTAAACTAGAGATTACATGCCACCGCACAGGTGCTTCCTCGCTCTGCTACTGGTGGCTGCCATTCTCTGGAAGATCAAGCAAAAATACGACATGTATCGACGAAGACAAAGGCTCTTCCTGGAGATGGAACAGATGGCCAGCAGGGCATTTAGTCAAGTTCTGGTAGAAATCGAGAGACGCGACGTTGAGAACTCGGATCCGGAACGTGGTGATGCTGATTTTACTAATTGTCGTAAAAAGAAGAAGGTAAGTTTAAATATTTTAGATATCATATACTTTCGTAATTGAAATATTTATCTGTGCGCCCATTTCTGATTAATAACACTTTTAATGTTAAATGATTTTATAGTGAGAGAAGAAGAGAATTCTTTCTCTCACAAGTAAACTATTTCAAGTGTCAGACGCTGATTTATTTTATACTTTGGATTTTGATTTGAGATACCAAAAGATGATTTTTCATGCAAAAACTAATTGCTCAATATTAATCGTAGCGCTTATCTCACGGTATCTCATTTTTAGAATAATAGGTAAATAAATTAAAATACTTTAGAAATAACGCATTTCACTCAAAAATGTTTCAAACAAAAGTTGCTTCAAACAAAAGTTGCTTGGTTTCGAAGGACCTGTAAAATAGTGATCTTCATCAGAAATAAAGCAGCAGAATAAAAAAAAGGAATCGATTTACGTAAAAAAATCATATAATATTATATGAAAAATTTAGTTAACGTCAATAAAACCTTTGTAGGAACTCCTAGGTTAAATGAATCACTATTTTACATGTTCTTTGAAATCAAGCAACTTTTGTTTGAAACATTTTTTTGGGAGAAATTCGTTATTTCTTTTCTGAAATAGTTTATTCCATTATTATAAAAATGAAATATTGTGTATAAGCGATTAATATTAAACAATTAATTTTTACATGAAAAATCATCTTTTGGTATCTCGAATCAAAATCCAAAGTATGAAATAAATTGGCGTCTGACACTTGAAATAGTTTACTTGTCAGAGAAAGACTACACACCTTTCAAGAAGTTTAGATTTTTATTTCTTTTACTCTTATGTGAATTCTTATATGTCTTGCAACCAGTGTCGTAATTAGAATAAGGTTCAACTACTTCTTTTTATTAAGTTTGCTTTTTTCATGCAGGATGCTCCTAGTCCGATCGCGCTGGAGCCTTGTTGTGGCAACAGAGCGGCGGTTCTGTCTCTGCTAGTCAGATTGCCGACTGGCGGCGAGCCTTATACGCCAGCCGGACAGAGCGCTGGCCTAGCCGTGGCGTCCGCTTTGGTGACGCTAGGCAGCCCGCGCAGACCATCTCAGGAATTAACGACGAAGGAGCCGAAGAAGACGAGGAAGTCCGCCAGCCAGCATCCGGACTCCACTTGCATTTAGCGGTAAATCGACGAGGTATCGCGACAGAACGCGCGATTGATTTATGATAAGCCTTAGAATTGTTTCTGTGATCTTGCCCGCGCTTGATGAACGGCAGGACATTATCTTCGAACCCTAACGAAGTGATGAAGTGCGAACGGTGATCGAAACCGAGATTCGAAATATATAACGCGAAAAATTTTACTCGTTGACGCGCGACTGATCGGTGACGCATCGAACACAATTCGGTTATTTTACTCCGAAGAGTCGGCTGAGCGTGTAACGCTAGATTTAGATGTATGCGTGACTTTCCTTATCGAGTAGAAGGAAAACGCCTTTGGCCGATGAGCGAATGGACTGCTCCGACCGGTTACGTCCGCTAATCATGGTAAGTAACGTTTTCTTTTTTTTTTTTTTTTCTTCCTTAAACTTGAGCTGCATGAGCATATTTTCATGCGCCGAAAGGGACGTCCATTGATCACTCGGCTAGCATTCGGAACATAATCGAGTTTTTTTTTTTATAAGAACTTCGATTAACGATGTACAGTGTTGTATAGATGGTAAGACGATCGTTTTTGTCGAAGAAGTTACGATACGACATGTTGGGCGCATGGATAAACTGGCCTCGTGCATATTTGAAAAGCTTTTATCCGCTGCAACTGTTTAAAAAAATTATTCATTCGCAATTTTAAATATATTTCATTATATATCTATATATATAACATTATATGTATATGTATATATAATATATTTAATTATCACAAATCTGAGAAAATTTTACATAATTTTCTCTTAAAATTTGTGCGTTTATGAAATTAAACACTCCACTCGATTAGTCTATTATAAGTCTAAAAAAATTAAATATAATAATATATAATTTGTATTATAATTCTTATATATTTTATTGTTTTCTTGCATAATTTCTACAGTGCAGTGGACAAAACATTGTAAATGCCATAAGAGAGTTATTAAAAGAATTCATTAATGTTACGTATGTCTGAAACGATTAAATTCGAGGAAGTACAACGCTTCGACATTAAGCTGTAAATAGGCTGTATTTTTGTCGGGCTTGAATGAAACAAAAAACTGATCGTTAATAGTAAAGAAAGGCGTACGAGTGTGAATGGAAAATACCGGTGAGTACGTCGAAGAATTCACTATTTATGCATCCATTTTTAGCGCGTATAAGATTCATATTCTAAATCGATCGAGGTGAGTAGAGATAACAACAATTACAACCAGATGTAAGGAAGATACAAACCGCGTGTGCATCCGGTTTTGTGTGCATTTTGCATTTAGAATATTGTGCCAAATCAGCATTTCTTATTTTGATGTAAATGCAAATCATTTGTCGAGACAAACTTTGATTAGCTAGAATCGGTCGAACGAACAAGTATTTTTTACTTTGTTACCTCTATTCGCTGTGATTCCAACTAATCTTCGTCGCACAACCGAAAATTTGCAGAATCCAAGATTGATACCAGTTAATGGCGTAATTTAATTAGAAATTTTTAATAATTTGTTCGATTATGCTCGAAGTTTTAGCATAGCAAACGAAAAACAGAAAGAATTTAACGTCATCATAATAAGAATCTCATTCGAAATCTCTTTTTTTCATAGAGCAAGTAACAGTGCTGATTGTTTCGCACGTTGGTTGCATGACTCTTTCTGAGCATTTAACTAACATGTTTACGAGATTCGCGTATGTTTTTACTTTTTTATAAAAACCTCCGATTGTATTATATTTTTATTCTTTCGTACTTGTGTGTTGCGGAATAAAAATTAAATTAGTAATAAATATCGCATACTTCCATTTTTTATAGTAAATTTGTACTTTACTGCTTTTACCATTTTTGAAATGCGAGAAAATAACTTGCAACGCTTGAAAACTTTACGAATTTTATGTACATTATTAGCGAAAGGTAACGCATAGAGAAAGTTCCAGCGCACTCCGGTTCATACGTGAAACGTGTTTACATTAAGAGACCGGCACGGTTCTTTTTCTTCTTGAAACTTTCATGATAATGCGAGAAAAGGGAGTTATCGCCGTAAGATTCATACACATACATAGATATTTCTTCTATAAATACATTAATTTGCGTTGTAATAATTAAGTTTCTTTTTTTTTATGGGTGTGATGAACGTGTGTGTATATACATACATAGACATGTATACATACATATATACATGTATATGTATTTACGTGTATTTATGTAATTGGTGCATATTTAAACGAAGGCGAATATAAACGATGTTTTGTTATTACTTGAATTAGCGCAAATACAGTGCATTTTATTATGACGTTTAATACTCATATCTTCGTCTTTATATCGTTTGAAATATTAATTTATAAAGATACGGTCGAGAGAGACGTATATACATATATACATATAATATTATAAATTAGAATCGCTCCCTTTTAAGCGGATAAATGCGCATTCTATCTCAGATATATTTTTCGTACCAAAGAAAGCTCTATAGATATGAATAAAAATCGTTATTGCGCACGTAGGGGACTAGATAGCACTCGACACAATCAATTATTATTGTAACAATTAGAAATAAATTTGTAATTATTGGTCGCGTTTGAGAAATGATTTTTGTTTCGTCAACGGTAATATAGATCTGACTATTATTTGTTGTCGAATTTACTTTTTGATACGAACAGCTTTTTGTACTCGAGCAGCGTGAGACGTAATCTCGTTTAAGAGATAATTGTAATTCCTCCTATGAGCGCCAAAAAAAAAACATGATATTAAGCATATTTTATTAAAATATATTTTATTGGATATATTATATTGCGATATAATATAATACTTTTTATCGTATAATTTGTACAAACGAGTGAGCGTCTTTGATTCTTTTGTTGCCGCAATACGTGCAATCATTTATGTTTTGACAATTCAATCTAATAGTTACTAAAATTATCGTGAATTTTTAGACCCGCAGAAAAGGACCGCTTTATTCTTTGTATTGTTCACGTGTCGGCAATTTCGGCAACGAAAGGATTAAAACGCAAAGGTTTGAAAATATTATTCATATTCTGTTGTTAGGAATATCGTTTGAATTCGTGATACTTTCAACGCCGTAATAAATATTCAATGTTGATTTTAAATTATCGGGACGATGGTCCACCGGCGCTCATATATACATATTGTATACATACATATATATATTTTTCTTTTCATCCCGTTCTTAGGCTACACTTGAAAAATTTACGAGGAAGAGGGTCGCTCTCGGGAGAGTAAAATTTTCAAACGGATCTCTATCGAGACTGACGAAAAAAAAAAAATGAAACTGTCAGACAAACGGTCGTTGAAAGTCGTTCTTTCAATTGTAACGCCAGTTGAAAATTATCACTCTCCAGAGAGCCACCCTCTCGGAGGATTAAACTCTCAAGCGTACCGCCCCGGCTTCGATTTTCTGTCTGTCGCGTTTGTTGTACACCGTAACACTGCCAATGTAATATTCCTCCACTTCATTGATCTTTTACAATCCGCTTCGTCTTCGACCCTTCGAGACGACCGCCGGGGGAGTCCGCCTCCCTCCCCGCGCCGATCGATCTCTGCGACTGATAACACGCGCGAACCATCGATATTCCACAATCTCTTCTTAGCTCCCTCTTTCCAACGCGAAGATCGCGCGCCATTGTTGTTCATGATCGCGACGGGACCGGCGTTGTTCATCGCTCTTAAGAGGCTCTCTCTCTCTCTCTTTCTCTCTCAGAAAGGCTTAAGTAATATATAAAAATAGAATAGAATATATAATATACGCTGCACATATTCACTCTTCTCATCGTCATTTATCTTAGGGGAAAAGATAGGGGTCGTCTATCAGTTATTTTTTGCGGAAAAAAATCTATTCCAAATTTAAAGGAGAGTCTGTCATATATGTATTAATATAATATCGTATATATTATAATGTTATATATTTTATAATATTATATATATATATATATATAAAATATATATGGTATATGTACAGAATGAGGAATGATTTTTTTCGATTAGATAAGTGGAAGGCGTACTGTGTAAAAAGCGCATTTCTTCAAATAAGTCATATTCGAATGCGATAGAATAAAATAGTTAACTGTATGATAGAGTTAATAGAGCTAAAGCGATAAAAAGCTACTGAAAAAGAAAGTTGTAATCACGTGGATCGGCCGGATTTCCCGATCGGTCCGATCGCGCATATTGTCCCTTAATTCCGGGTAAAGACGTCGCGTAGGAGCGAATAAACATCGTGCGATCGGTTCCGTCGCGACCCCCACGTCTCCTCGGTTTTCCTCTTTCGACTCGAAGGAGGGTAACCGGAGAGATCTCTCTCTCCTTCCCCGCGAAGGACTCGCGACGAACATTCGCGGTCTTACTGATAAGCGAGATCCCCTCCAGATCTTTTAATCATAAACATGTAGATCTTAAAGTCGGAGGGCGTACGACGATGTAAAATACATCCATCTCCATGGAATACTCTTGAGTCACCGATCTTAGCCGTTAAGGATTCTTAAAGCGCCGGTTATGTGAGACTCGGACAAGCAATGTTGTTTATCACCGAAAGTATACCGAAATGGGGGAGACGTCACGTTGCGTTGGGACGAGAGTTCGTATTTACAGAATAAGGGAGAGACTGTCTCGCGTAAACACACACACACACACACAGAACCGGGAACATAGACGGGCGTGTAATAAGAATACTTAATCTAACTAAATAAGTATACATATTGTGTATATTATACATACATAGCTTGCGACGATTTTTCTAGGACACATTTGAAGATATTTATTTTTATTCCAGCGTAAAAGAGCGTAAGGTACACAAACTATTTAATAAAAAAAAAAAATCGGCAAGTCGACGGAACGATTTAAGTCTCCCGATGCGATTCTCTCGCGAGGATATCTTTGAAAGAACGAATAGTGGAACGCGAAGACGAGCGCGCGTTTATGTAACGCGCGCGCGTGTGTATTATACGGTATAAAGTCTGAGGCTATTAATTTGCATATATACGATATTAGCGTCGCCTTGCTATCTTACATCGACAGCGTCGTTAGAGAGAGACAGAGAAAGAGAGAGAGAGAGAGAGAGAGAGAGAGAGAGAGAGAGAGAGAGATGTACCAAGTGTGTCAAAGCGGTTTCATCTTCACACACTCGAAATTTCGCCCGTTTTTCTTCCATCTCCCTAAAGAACGACGACGTCGGCGTTTCTCGCCTAGAAGTATTGAAGTCCCAAGTTTACGAAACCGTGTTGGACAATTGACGGTCTTTCGCGTGCCGCTCGAGCTTAATAACGATCGTTTTCATCCTACATGTAAGCTCATTACTTGTATATAACGTCATACGAGGAGGAACATTGTTTTGTGTTAAGCGGAGAGAAAGCAACGAAGAAAGGCTTCCGAAACGATTGTGTCTCAAGGGCGGTAATCCATTCGTTTTTCGCGAAGCGCGCGCAGAAAGTTGAAGATGATCGATCTTTTCTCTTTTCTGATCGAGTCATTCTGTTTTAACAACGTTTAACTGAATCATTTTTAAAGGAGTGGCTTCCACGCTCGTCTCATCACATTTTGCCTATTCGGCTTACTTTTTTCCAACGTAAGGTATTTTTTAGTTTGCGAGAACTAGACTTTCCCGGCTAAGCTTAGCGTGCCGTGTGTGCTGAAGGTTCGGACTATTTTTAGATTGTATATGTGTGGATCTTTCTTTTTACGTTAAAAAAGCCCTTAAAAAGA